AAATGAAGATACTTCTCTTTTTTTGCATACTTCACATTCTTTATTAGTACACACAAAGCTATGCGACCCCCTGGGGGAAGTAAATCTACTATTATTAATGTAATTGCCTTTCTATTGTAATATACTATTACTTATATTCCCATAGAGAAACAATTACCCATAGAAAATACATTGAAAAAAATTTTCCGACCAACATGCAGTTCAATTTTATTCTTGAGAGGTGTCGGTCACTCGAGTATCACGAAAGTGAAAACTCATACCAGTCAACCTGGTGAGTGACAGGGTATGCCAAGGTACCCTAACATGCAATGAGGCAAGCATTGCAAGGTATACACAAGGGGTACCCAACTAAAGGGCAGACTGCAACACTGCCTGGGTACCCTAAGGTATACCCTATTGATAGGTGTAGTCAGGTATGCTTAGCATATGCTGACTATACTCACGAAGGTTGAGCATAAGCTTGGCTTAGTGCCTCGCGTTGCTACTCTGATCCATTCTACTCTGTAGGGCTTAAGATGCTACTACGATAACATCATGCTGTATACCTATGTGTATACTAAGCATACTTAAGTATTGTCAATAACATCCGAAAGGATGGGCTGTTAAGGGAGTGATTAATAGACTATGCATATAGTCTAGGAGTAGATATAAAGAGCATCGGTATGGTATGTTTAAATACTGCCTACTAGCTCCTACTCTTTCATCTCCATTACAGTCTGGCTAATACTAAACGTACCCGACACGCTACTGTACAAGCTAGATGATAGAATATACTTGGTATATATCTATCTCTACTAGTACACGGTTGAGGTGACCCGGACCATACGTGTGTGTATGGCCGATAGTCACTAGTATACCATCGCTAAATACACGCAAGGTACACTCGATACCTGGTATAAACAACACTCGTCAGAGTGTCCAGGATATTGGCTATAGTTGTACTGTGTATGATGGGGATATACTACAACCCTAATCACACACGCACAATACGGTGAATGTGTACATCAGTGTGCATGTGGGTATACCCTACACACACACATACGATGTTACTCTATTCCTGTATAAATGCTACCTGGTTGATCCTGCCAGTAGTCATATGCTTGTCTCAAAGATTAAGCCATGCATGTCTAAGTACATACTGTTCTAAAGTGAAACCGCGAATGGCTCATTAAATCAGTTACGGTTCCTCGGATATTCCATTTTACATGGATAACTGTGGTAATTCTAGAGCTAATACATGCATCAAAACCTCAACCCCGGTTCTGGCTAGTGGCAGGGCAACCTGTCATCCAGGATTGTGTGGAAGAGGCGTATTTATTAGACCAAGACCAATGTTCCTTATTCACCCAGGACACTCTCTAAATACGGCCAGTTGGTTCACTCTGACTGGTGTCGGTTTAGATGTAAGACCTGGCAGTGGGGATCTAAGTATTACCTTCGGGTATTACGATTTCTGGTATGGTGACTCTGAATAACTGAGCAAATCGTATGGCCACCGTGCCGACGATGTATCCCTCAAGCAACTGCCTTATCAACTTTCGATGGTAGGTTATGCGCCTACCATGGTTGTAACGGGTAACGGGGAATCAGGGTTCGATTCCGGAGAGGGAGCCTGAGAAACGGCTACCACATCCAAGGAAGGCAGCAGGCGCGCAAATTACCCACTCCCAGTACGGGGAGGTAGTGACGAAAAATAACAATATGGAACTCTTTTGGGTCTCCATAATTGGAATGAGTACAATTTAAATCCTTTAATGAGGATCTATTGGAGGGCAAGTCTGGTGCCAGCAGCCGCGGTAATTCCAGCTCCAATAGCGTATATTAAAGTTGTTGCGGTTAAAAAGCTCGTAGTTGGATTTCAGTCCAACCTATGGAGTCCACTGAAAAAGGGTTTGCCTAGTGTTCAGGGTTGATCACTCCTTCGCGGGGTATCTTCACTGGCCTAGCTTGCCTGGTGGTCACTACCATAGTTGTTGAACACAATCGTGCCCGATTTCTGCTTCTAATGCTCTTCATTGAGTGTTAGTTTAAGCGATCGGGACTTTTACCTTGAAAAAATTAAAGTGCTCAAAGCAGGCGTACCAAACCTCGCAAGAGGTGCCTAAAATGGGTATGGTCAGCTTCATCTTACCTTCGGGATAAGTGGAGTGATACCATTCCTTACCTTGAATAATCTTGCATGGAATAATGGAATAGGACCTCGATTCTATTTTGTTGGTCTATGGAATCTGAGGTAATGATTAAGAGGGACAGACGGGGGCATTCGTATTGCGACGCTAGAGGTGAAATTCTTGGACCGTCGCAAGACGAACTACAGCGAAAGCATTTGCCAAGAATGTTTTCATTAATCAAGAACGAAAGTTAGAGGTTCGAAGGCGATCAGATACCGCCCTAGTTCTAACCATAAACGATGCCAACCAGCGATCAGCCTGAGTTTTTTCCTAATGACTCGGCTGGCAGCTTCCGGGAAACCAAAGTTTTTGGGTTCCGGGGGAAGTATGGTTGCAAAGCTGAAACTTAAAGGAATTGACGGAAGGGCACCACCAGGAGTGGAGCCTGCGGCTTAATTTGACTCAACACGGG